TCTGGTGTTTGCCCATCGATGGCGGACTGTGGTAATTCTTCAATATGCGTCATTGTTCCTAAAGAGGTAAAGCTTGATCAAGAGGTTTTGTCCTGTCTGTTTTTCCCACAGACAGCGCCAATTGTACGGGAAAGAAATAAACCTTCTGGTATAATCCTATTGATCAAGTCTGCGCTCCTCTGTACGTCGTCGCTTTATCACTTGAAAACACAAACGTGAGCTAGCCGGCGGGTGTGTGCCGGAAACCTCTCCGATGTCTAAGTCAGTAAGCTTGACGAATAGACAAAAGCTCTATGTATTCAGAAAGCAAAGTTGTGTTACCTCTCCAAATGTGATGTTGTGAGCTTTTATAGGTTCCGTGTGGCACAATCCTAGTAGGACTTTTACTTCTTCATGCAGAGTCCTTCTAGGATTCATACTCCTGAAAGATAATGCTTATCCTTCAACACCCCCCTCACTACTTAAACCAAGTGAGATGGTTTTATCATGGCCGAACTCCAATATGACCGAAGTAAACATGACTATGCATAGCCGCAGAATAAGTCGAACTAGCTCCTCCTTTTACTGCTCTTACGTCGGCTTCTCATGCACAACCCATGGCGTGGTTAGACCGAACTAACATGTCACGACCGGTGTAACTCCAAGACCGGTCTAACTCCAAAGTACCGTTAGACCGATCTAACTTCGATCTTCTGTTGGACCGGGCTAGCTTCACGGCCTTAGGACCGGACTAACTTCAAGTCTCCTCCGGGCCGGACTAGCTTCGAGGCTCTTGTACCGGACTAACTTTAAAGCCTTTTTACTCAGCCCTTTGTATTGCGGCCCATGACGGCCCATTACCCAGTTCGGCCCAATTTTCATATAAATTACCCTCTCATATGGTAACATTGGATTGCCATTAATCAAATTATTTTGAATTTTAGAAACATATGGGAATGTTACGTTGAGTTTGGGAATGTCACATTAGGTTTGGGATGTTACATGTTACGTTTTGAGTTTTGAATTTCAAATTTCCAACCATATAAATATGATCACAATCTATGGTAATATTGGATTTCTCATATATGGTATTGTCATTAATTAGGTTATTTTAAATTTCAAATTTCTAACCATACAGATATTATTACAATCTATGGTAACATTGGATTTCCCATATATGGTATTATCATTAATCAGGTTATTAATTAATTAAGATTGGGAGTAGATGTGTCCACAATAAAAGTACAGGACCTATTAGGTTATAAGTATTTTTTCATAAGATCAAGTCTTCTAAATAGGACTTATAAATAACTTACCATTTTCTTGATAAATAATGCTGATACTTTCTTGGTTATAGTTATGTTTAATTTGGTTTTCAAAATTTATTTTCAGAAATTTTTTCTAAAAAACTAAAAATTAAATTGGTGAAAAAAAAATTAAAAACACATCATTTTTATATAATTTTATCTTTTGAGAAGGTAAAAATAATTTTCTTTTTGATAATTAGTTTCTATTTTTTCAAAATTCAAATATGATGACAACTTTAATGTCATTATTAAATCAATTCATTAAATCAAAAAATTCAAAACTAAAAACATTTCATATATTAAACATATAAATTACACATTTGTTGACTTTTTGGCTTTCGAAGGTTATTATTGTAATTGTGAGCGTGCCAGTAAGGATCAATCAGTCGTTACAGAAAATTAGTTGCCAACCAATTATCAGATGATTGTGTTTTAGTTCTTTCAACCTCAATGAAGAGAACTTTTACTGGTGGCTTGATTTAGAAGAATTAAGTAAACAACAATCAAATGAAGAACAATTGAAGCATCTCATGAAAAACTTACAATGCTCCAATTCAGCCTCGTAGAAGTTTACAGCAACAATCTGCTTGAAACTACTCCTATGAACGAAGTGCAATGCAGGAATTTTAAAGTACAGAAATGTAAAGAACAGGAAATGTAAAACTGGAAAGGAAATAAAGTAGAATAAAACTGATTTTTTGGATCTGAGTCTGGGCTTTTTTCTGGGGCCTTCTCTACTATTTATACTTCTCAAGGATGACCATCGAACTGCACTTCTAATCGTCGAATCGTTCCTCCATGATCGCTGATCATGTTGCCTTATACTTAGCTCCACTATGCCATCACTTGTAGTTAGGCTTCCCTCCTGATTTTGAATTTGAATGTGAGTAACCGTTGAAGCTACATCACTTTGCATCCCTTTACTGATCCAGTGCTACGCAGATCTTGTAAGAACTAATACTAACTGCCACGTGTACGATCACGATCGAAAACTTGAATAGTCTTCCCGTATTGCCCTTATTTTGCCACGCGTTGAATTCCAATTGGCTTATACAAAATATGTAGCCAACAACATTAAAAGTTTAATAACCATCCATTACATGATAATCATCTAAAAATATCCGTTAACAACAAAAACAAACATCTATTACATAATAATCATCCAAAAATTATCATCCAAACACATAATAAAAATTAATTTAGTAAAAATGTAAAAATGTAAAAAAATTATCATTTTTATATAATTTTATCTTTGGTGGGTAGAAATAGTTTTTAAAAATTCAAAAATAACTTTTTGACATTTATTTTTATCAATCTAATTTATATTTTTTTCCCATTGACGACTTTACTCTTGAAATACAATATTTTCCGTTTACAAAGAAAATAGTGTCTTTAATTGTCCTTATTTGAAACAATATTCAAAATTCATGTCAAATGTATCATGATTAAAAGGTTAAAAACCAAATTAATACAAGTCCCAAACTACAAAATTGTTAGTATAATTTACCCTATAATTTATAATAATTGCTCACCTATAGACTATTTACAAGTGGGTGATTCTGTCTACACTATTATAAGTTTGCTTCATTACCATCTTTAATTTTTCAAATGTTATTACAATTTTATCATTATTTAAAATTACCCCCAAGAAAAGATAAATTACACTCACATCACATCCCTTGAAATTTCGACAAAATATAGTTAGTGTTAAAAGCTACTAAAACTAAGGGCGATGGTGGGAAGATAATTAAATAAAGGTAAATATATATTTTAATAGGAAAGTGATGATGATATTATTTTTTTATTGATGAGAAACAAATTATTGATAAAAAATAGCTTAAGCACTATATGAATTAAAACATTAAAGGATGCCAGTGTAATTATACTAAAAGTATAGAATTAACTGTATTTTTCTTTAAACCTTAAGAAAAGTGAGAATAATTTACCCCTCTCCAAAAAAAAAAAAAAAAAAAAAAAAAAAAAAAAAAAAAAACGAAGATAATTAAATAAAGGTAAATATATATTTTAATAGGAAAGTGATGATGATATTATTTTTTTATTGATGAGAAACAAATTATTGATGAAAAATAGCTTAAGTACTATATGAATTAAAACATTAAAGGATGTCAGCGTAATTATACTAAAAGTATAGGATTAACTATATTTTTCTTTAAACTTTAGGAAAAGTGAGTATAACTTACCCCTCTCAAAAAAAAAAAAAAAAAAAAAAAAAAAAAAAAAAAAACCAAAACCAAAACCAAAACCCTATTTCTTATTCTACTCACCCATTTTCATTAGGATTGGAGGTTGTAGGACATAGTGGTCTTGACGATGTGAGACTGGAGGGTGGAGGTCTTGGCAATAGAAAAGGGATGCAAGGGTAGTAGTGGGGATAGGGAAGGCGGTTGGGAGTGACAGTTGGAACTAGCGAAAGGTTGCAAGGGTAGTCGGGGTAGAGCTAAAGATTTGAATGGTTTTAGGAGTAAAGAAAGATAAGACGTCAGAAATAACGATAACTGAAATTATAGAATATAAGAAGATAAAATGAAAATTTTAATTTTAAAGGGGTTCAATTGGAAAATGGCGTAAGCTAGACTTGTAGGGTAAATAGAGTCATCCAAAACAAAAAGAAAACAAAAATATTTGATTCACCAAATTCTTGGGGGAAGATATTTGTATATTTTTTTAGGCCTCGTTTGTCATCATTTTTTAGCTTAGAAGTTAAAAGGTCAGTAAAAATTAAAAAGTCAATAACTTATATCAAAAAATTAAAAATTTCTTTTTCTTTCTATTTTTTGCACATCTTTTCATAAAAAACTAAAAAATCATCCCAAACATACTAGTTGTTTTTTATATCATATTTTAACCAAAAAATTAAAAAATTACTAAAAAAGTCTGTTCTCAAATGAAACCTAAATGTCAAAAGGCATTTGTGATTTTAAATGTCTAAGCTTCTTATACTTTTTTTTTATTTTATTTAAAAAATTTATGTCAAAATGTTTAGTACAACTTCTACTTATAATTTATTAAGCAAAAATAATTTGAATAACCTGAAAACAAATGTAAAAACTGATACTTTTAGCTTCTATTTTTTGATTATCAACTTTTAACTTACAATAAGATTTACCAAAAATACTTTTGTTCAACTGACAAAATGGAAAATTTATAAAATAAAATAAAATAAAAAACAAGGTTTAATCTTTATAATAAAATAAACTCTTAATTTTTTATTTTATCAATCTTAATTCTGTTTTTTGATTTGTTTTCAATTTAAATTATTTGTCTATTTTCGTTAAGTAATACTAATAGAAAAAAAATATGTTAGTCATTAAACTAAATGAAAAATGGCATTTTAAATTTTTTTTTTTTATACATCTACATTGAGAATTATGACTAAAATATCATTTTTTTCGATAATTTTACTTAACGAGAATAGAAAAATAGTTTAAATTAAAAAATTATGGTTTAAATTAATAAAATAAAACAAAATAACTCATGATTTATCTTGTAATAATAAGGCTCAAGCCATGGTTTTTATTTTTATTTTTGTTATTTTCCCTTAAAACTTTATGTTATTTGTTAAATGCCTTAATTTTTTTATTAAAAATGTATATAACAGGGACAAATTATGTATATTCATACATTTTATAATTTATAACCGTAGTAAATTTAGACAAAATGCGGTGAGAGACTGAACTGAAAATAAGACTGAACTGAAAATAAAAACACAATTTAGGGCTAATTGTGTAATTTAGCCTTCTTTTTTTAATACTTTGTAACAAGAAAGAAAAATAGTTCATGTTTGAGCTCTACAATCACTGCAACCACACAAAGATAACATATTGACAGTCGGGTAAATTCTCCTCAAACTAGTCGAGTTTCAGCTCATAGCATCATTACATAAGCATAACCATAATCAGATGACATATTGGCAGTCTGGTAAATTCTCCTCAAACTAGTCGAGTTTCAGCTCGTAGCATCGTTGCATAAGCACAACCAGAATCATATTCTTATACATACTAAAGCTTCTCGAACAATGTGATATCTCACACTAGGTAAATCCTTAACCCTTTCCCCTCTTACTAAGATTATAGAATGTTCTTGTGAATCATGACCAATACTAAGTACATAAGCAATGTTTTCAAATCCAGAGATTAATCATACTCTAGCAACTTTACGTAACACAGAGTTCGGTTTTTTGGGTGTGATAGTTGAAAGAGAAAAATTATGGATCATGAAATTTTTTTCATGAAAATGATCATGAAAGAATTATGATCATTGGATTACCTTGATTAGTGTGTGGTGCTTTATTCTAAGTGTAATCCAAAGGTCACAAACCTTTTATGATTATTTTCATGAAAGGTTTTTCATGATACCTAGCATGACTGTAGTTGAAAAGTTGACATAAACGAACCTCTGCAAAAACATAACCACTCGAGCAAACATGGTAAGCACCCTCAATACATATATATACACATATACCTTGAAGACAGAATTCAAAAACAACCATTAACCTACAATGCACCCCTTGCAAACACAACATTAAAGCAATTCAAATCATATTGCATTGGCATAATTAAGAATTGCATAAAAACACTCTGAAAGAATGAGTTTCCCACAATATATAATAATAATAAAATACAAATAAATTTTATGTGTTTTCTATGTCAATGTGTAAAAACTGTTTTTAAAGCGAAACATTATTCTTACAGCAAGTTTATACAAAATATATCACAAGAATAATGTGACAATGTCATATCTTTGTGGATGTTATGTTTTAAAAGTTAAATATTCATATTGAGCCACACCATTCTTTACAAAAAATTCTACATGAATTTTCCGTTTATATATCATCATCACTATTTTCTAAAGGTATTTTGCATTTAAAAATATAATAATGATAATGATAATTTTACAAAATGTTTCAAGGTCTAAATCAAAAAAATAAAATAAATTGAAGTATTAAGCTCTATTCCATCTAAACCCTTGAAATGAGATTTGACTAAAGCTGTCTACAGAGCTGGAGTCCATCAGTCCTGATCAATTCAAAATGTGCAGTCTGGTTTGGTTATTTGTAGAGATGCATAGGTTCTGGTTCTAAGCAATTAAAAGAACACGATGGAAACGAACCATTCTTTACAATTCGATTCCAGATTATTAATGCTTTTAACAGAACAAGATGGAAACAAACCAAACTGTTCCCTATTTTGTTTATTAATTTTAATATGTATAGAGGTATTCTGCAAAGTACTCGACTCATCATCTTCTTCAAAAGCCAAACTCATTCCTACTTTCTATTCACGAGGTACTTCTCTATTATAAAGATATATTTGTTTATGTAATTTTTAAATTTTTACACATCGTATATTTTTGAGAATTGCATTTCTACAACAATTAGTACATAATATGAGGATTTTGTTGTCTTTAAACTTTTCATTAATATTAGTTTAGATTGCATTTTGAAATTTGCAATACACTTGCTGATTTTTTTGGAATAATTTTATAGATAGAAATCAATTTATATTAAAGAGAAGAAAAGAAAAGAAAAAATAGAAATTACCTCATAACTGTGGATCCAAACCATAATCAAACCATCTTTGACAATTTGGTTTGGTTCGTCTCAAGGCTGACCCAACTCTCAATGAGGCCTAAAGCAAAATCTCAGGCTTTTTTACATTGAAATAATATTTATTAATTCCTTTTTTTAGGTAAAAATTAATTTTATGTTCAATAAAAATAGCCTTTAGACAACTGGGGCCTCTAAACAGGAAGAATTTTTTATGGGCCTTTAGACAACCAAGAAAAAATACGAGTGTTCCAAGTATTTATGATTGAGGACCTTTTTTCTTTTTCTTTTTTTGTCAAAGAGCATGAGAATATTTTCAACTATTAAGAGAATTACATCAAATTAAACCATCAACTATTACAAGCCCAAAATCAACTAACACACTATTGATATAATAAATAAATAAAAGCCCAATAATAATAATAATAATTTTTTTTTAAAAATAAACAACTAAGAAAGAATAATAAACAAAAATAATCACTAACAGTATACATGAATGGCCTATTTACAATGAATTTTATTTCTTGGATCTGTAAACAAAATATTTTAGACTATAATATATTTGGACAAAGAATGTCGAAGCCTAGGGGCCTTACAAAGTGGGGGCCCCGTGAAAAAATTGAAGTGAATCTGGGGTAGAGCAGAGAGATTGGAAATTTTAATTTCCTTGTGATAAAACCCCATCTGACAAAGTGGTTGTGGTCGGTCGTCATCTAAAGATGAGAAAATTCTTTCTTTTGTTTATCTGACTGGCATTGTCAAATTATTTATTTATTTTTATTTTTTGGGTATTATTTACAGATTGACAAGAGGCCATTAGTTTAGCAGTTAAAACTAGGTTTACTAATCTTGAGATCCTAGGTTGGAAGCTCAGGACAATCACTTCATGCAAATTATGTCAAAGGTTGGATCGGATCTGAATCCAATCAACCCATGCTAGAACCCCATCCAATAAAGACTAAACTAGACCTACTTTTTTATATAAAAAATAAATAAATTAAAAAAAAAAAAAAACTGAAAGCACGTTAATAACAACCAAACTTTTAAGAAACAAACTTTCGGAATTTGATAACTGTTGTTCATAACTACAAATAAAAAAATAGAAAGTCTTAAACTCATCTCTACAAATAAATACGTGTTTAAACTACCTCTTTCAATCTAAGCTGTGGCATTACCACATCATCCTTTAATTTAAACCCGACGACAATTTCCATGCACTGCTCTTTTCAAGTACAAGAAAGAGAGTTGTGATTAGGACTGCAAATGAGCCGACTAAAACTGACCCGAACTTTAATATGTTTAGATTTGTTTATTAAGATTTTAACAAACTCGAACTTACGCTCGAGCTCAATAATAACAAACCGAGCTCAAGCAAAGTTAACTTAGGTTTGACTTGAGCTTGAGCATGTTCACGAGTCTTAACAAGTCAAAATTTATAAATTCATACTTGTATATGAGACTAAAGTTACAATTAAAATTTTGATCATACAATTATATATACAATATATATAAGCATATTAAAAAAAATTAATATTTTATCAAAATAATAATATCTACAACCACTATTATATAAATACAGTTCAATATTATTTACATTTATATTTTTTAAATATATAAATAACGTATTTATCTTATTTTTTATACATATTTTTACAGTATTTACTATATAAATAATAAACAGTAAACGAGCCTGTTAACGAGCCGAGCTTCAGAATGTTTGGACTTGTTTATTAAAAATTTAAGAAGCTCGAGCTCGAGCTTGAACACAAAAAATTTAACGAACCGAATTCAAACGAGCTTTTACCAAGCCGAGCTTGAGCTTATTCACGAGCGACTCTGTTCATTTGTAGTCATAGTTACGGTTCATAAAGACAGACAGAAAGGGAAATGCAAACAGATATAGAGAGATAAAATAGCGTTGGATGTGGTTTTACGGGGACAAAACAAAGCTGAGGCTGTGACTGTATTTTCTCATTTTCCCACTCCCATATGATCTGTGTATTGTGTATATAACGGTGGACATATAACGACCACTTATTCTTCATCTTCCTCTCCTGAACCTGATTTTTTCTCTCCTACACCAAATCCCCACACTAGCCATGTTGCCAACTCAAGGGTTCCGAATTATGATATGGAGAACAAAACGCCACGTGTCAATGACATCAACACCATAGGCATCCTCATGCGCACTAATATTCACTGTAATTTCTATTCCTAACCTGTAGTAACAATCATAGCCTTAAGGCCATGTTTGTTTGGCGGATTAGATTAGCATTCCCATGACTAATAGTCCTAGTACTACGAATCCGTTAGATTATGTATCCTATCTTAACTAATAGTCAAGTTTAAAATAATTAGTCCCTACTTCAATTATTTAACCAAACATCGGATTAATAATTTTATTGGACTATTAGTTCAATCCCAATCTCATGTTCACCCAAACAAACATGACCTAAGTGTCTTAATAAAATTGAAACTACACATCATTTTAGCATATAGCAGAATGTATCATCCATTTAGTTGACCATTATGATATGGGTTACTCAATTTTGACACCTTTATATCATCAAAACATAACCCTGTATAATCTTTCAACATTCCACACTATCCATATTATATGTTTTGTTAAACCTAACCATTTTAAGCCACAACAATTTTGGTCCTCCCCCTCAGCAATACCATCAACGATTTTCAACAACTACACTTCTCTTTCATTTTAGCTGAATTGGTTCTCAACTTCTCACAAATATGTTCATCTATCAAAATCTCATAGTTGACAAATTAATATTTGTGAAGGCATTCAAGATTCGCAACTAAAGTTACAAAAAACATAAATAATAGAACAAAGAAAAAGCAGAAAATGACCAAAAAAAGGTACCACAAGACCAAAGAACTCTAGAAACAAGTACATCCAACTCTTTCCAATCAATACAAACACCAGAAATATAATGATGATGGATGTCTAGCATAACTTCTACTAATTCGATGTGAACGAGATAAAAGAACTGGGGGCCAAAGGGAGACAAGGTTAGAGAACTTATTTACCTTTTGCTCTTTCCCCATATCTAATAATCTATATAGAAGACAAGGTTGCATCAAACAATGTAAACAGTTGAATACGGCAGTTTTAAGAATTAATATAAATCACTCAACGGTAAGTTTGAGGAAAATTATGTACAGACAGTTGTGTGAGTCTGGTTTCTACCATTGTTCTCTCTAGAAGTCTAGATTATGATCGTAAGGCCATAAGTCTTCTATTTTAAACATTAAGTGAGCTAATTCCCAATTTATTTATAAATTAAAATTATGCATTTGCATTCAACTAATTTAATAATATCAAAATAACACAATTTCACACTTATGACATGATGCCTCCACTATCTAAAAAGCATAATATAAGAATAATAAAAAATAAAAGATTAATACTGTATATCATTACTAGGCAGACAGCATGCACCACACACATTCACTTCCCTTAAAAATTACTTTTCCTCACCATTGTTTATTGACAATAACAACCAGAATAAGATTTATTTTCTTAAAAGAATCTTTTAATCATTTGAAAGTGTTGAATAGGTGATCTAACATGGTATAAGAGCTCAGATTGGATGAAGTCATACGTTCAAGTCTCTCCATTTTCATTCTTTCTTCTCTCTATTTATGGTGTTTGCATCTTCATGTGCAAAATAGGATAACATTGTTGGGCCCATTTCCTAAGTCTTTGGTTCAAATCCCTCGGTTTGCATTTGATCACTGTTTTTCTTCTTTCAATTGCAATTTCTGCTCTATTCCAGCTTAAGCTTTTGGAATTAGTGGTGATCTAACAAAAAGTACCAAGCTAATGTAGCTCCTACAAGGAAGTTCAACTTAATTCAAAAAAATACATCTACGAGGAGAGTTCGCCAATTCTAATAGCAAAGATTAGTATAGAAAACTCTGGCACCTACATATTTATTTCAGAAATTAAAGCAGAAATTTAACTAAATGTTGTAATCCAATAAAAATCGAAATCAACGTGTGATGCAATTCAAAGTTCACAACATAGGAAATACTGCAAACCTGGTTTAAACACAACGAAGGAGCAGTGTTTGAAGTCCAAGATTGTCATCCAACAAAGTAAAGCCTACCCCAAAGCTTTGATACTACTCCCAACATTTTGCGAGAAAGGGAATGCACCAGATGCGTTCTAGAAGCACAAGAAATCCGTCTTGAGTTAAAAGTTGCATCACTCAAAAGAGTATCAATACTCAACTCAAAAAGCCTTAAAAGAGTATCTACCCAAAGGAAAACGATATCAATACTTTTTCCAGTGCAGCTATTAAACTACACTTGCGAGACTTGCATGAGCTTCCTACTCAATCATTTCACTAAGAAATATGTCATTAATGTTATTTCTGAATGTTGGCAGACTGAATTCTCCACTGGCTCACTAATTTACTGAGGTGGTTTTTATAAAATAAAAATAATTATATAAAAATTCACTTGAAGAGCTTATTCTCTATTTAATCGAATTAACAAATATCACTAAAGCACTACAGCATAACAAGTCTTAAGGAAGATACTATCTCGAGGAAGATGCTATAAAATATTTATCAAGGACAGAAAATGGTGAATGAGGGAAACAAACTCTGCTTAGGGGTCACAAAGTCAAGAGAGGTCAATGTAATTTTTAAAGTTTATATTTAATACAAATTCCATCCTCAAGTTTTAACAGCTCAAGTTTTTGGGATATTTGGTGATAATATGGCAGTCACAACCACTTAAGGCTATCTAAAATGGAGGGAATATGATTACTGTCAATGGGTCAACAAGCTCAACACTCATTCAATGGATGGTTCAATTGAATATTTGGTGATAATATGGCAGTCACAACCACTTAACGCTATCTAAAATGGAGGGAATATGATTACTGTCAATGGATCAACAAGCTCAACACTCATTCAACGGATGGTTCAATTGGAATGGTGAACAACTTCAACAAAATGTTTAATTATAACAGTGACCCAATCTATTATGGCCTGTTTTAAGGAAAACAATTCTGGGGTCCACAACTGGTTCTAAACCATTAAGGCCATGTTTGTTTATGGTATACAAGGGCCAGATATGAGGGTGGGGCTGAATATAATATGAGGTGGGTCTCACATGTTTTTTTGTCTCTTTATATCCTGTGTTTAGTTGCTGCAGATATAGGAAGTCAGGATAGTATATGATACAAAAGGGGGGGTATGCAATACCCCCCATGATACTATATATCTCCTACCGTTGGATATAACTCATTCTTCATCTAAAGGTAAACAATAATCACTCTTCTCTTATCCCATCCAATATCCTACCTTAACCAAACATAGTATAAGTGACCCCACAATATATATCATCCATCTCATATCCTATAACATATTATATCCCATCATCATCCTTAGGTATTACATATCCTCCTCAAACTCTTATAGCCAATCCGAACAATCAAACGAGGCCTAAATGTTTGACACATGTATTTTAAATGGTAAACAAGACCTTCCCTATTATCTGAGAAAAGTGCCAGAACCTAGTTAAAGTAAATTAAGGGGTTTTTTTTGCCAAAAACAAGATAAACTTTATTCAAAGTGGAGGGGGGCTTACCAGCTCCATTTACCAGATTACCCAACCATCTAAACTCAAGAACTTAATCCACCCAATATAGATCAAGTATGCCAGCAGCACAAATCTAAATTGCTAGGCCTCCTATTTAGAGTTAACTTTTGGACTTATTGGCTAATACAAATTTTCCACGAGTCGGCTTCTTAGAATTATTATACTCTGACAACCTTCCTCATCCTATTCATTTTCCAACTTCTCATAGTTCTGTTTTTTCACAGATAATTAGCTCTATAGTTTATAAGCTACTATCAGATCTAGAGTTGAATAGAAAAATTATCAAAGTACACCTTATGAAGGAAAGTTAAGGCAAAGAGGTCAAGCTGTGCTCTACTTTTCATAAAAAATAAAAAATACACAAAAGTGACCATTAGCAGCATTGCAATCACATAATCGTAAACTAAAATAGAAATAATCCATCAATAAACCTAAAATGGATTGAGGTATATATATATAGTGTCAATCAGAGTGGGAATCAACTCTTCAGAAATTCATGTCCACGAACACATAAATAATCCTAATGAAGAGTCACTAGAAATTCATGTCCACGTACTTTTAATGAATTAGAGTTGTCACTAGAAGGATTGAAGTCCACTTTAATCCACAATTTTCATTTTTGGCTTATATGTAATTTTTTAACCATCTTTTGCGCTTGTATATTGTATACATCAGGTATACAAAGGTTGTGCCACTCCTGGCATGTTTTGAATACATTTACTTATCTGCACAAAAAAAGCATCCTACGACATGCACATCTATTATAGAACTGCCACCCCCACCTTATACCCATTCTACAAGCAACCATACAGAACTAGTACTCCCTATTTTCTTTTGATTTGACGGTTTTATAACTCAAGAAAATAGCATCACATGCACTTCTATTCTTGAGTATAACTTCTTTGAAAAACTCTAGTACCAAACATGAGGATTTCAATTTATCTGCTCTACATGGTAAAATCACAATGTTCCGTTCATATTAATGTAACTTTTGTAATTGTCTCCAACATACCACACAAACAACTCTCTGTAACTCTGCATATGCCTTCACTTCAACGAGCACCGAAAATCCTAAAAATTTACGTTCCAACACCAACAAAGACAGGATCATCCTAAAAAATGGAAATGGATCATATTGACAACTAACAATCGATAATTTAAAATGCTTGCCAACTAAAGTAAAACAATCAATAAATGCTATTACTGTTAGACCAATCAGATTAGTTGGTATAGACCCGTGCGTTCAACCTCTAACTCGGTTGGCGAAATAAGGAGGAAAAAATCCAATTGTCAAACAAGCACTAGATTATAACCACGTTGGGGCAATAAACAAATAAATACACAACCATAGAGAACAACTAATTTTTCAAATTCCCTAAGACCACAAATATTAGCTTATAAATTCAACATATAAATACTCGGTGATCAAAATGTACATATTATAACAATTTCCAAACAAACCACCAATTTCACAACAAAAAAACAACAAAGCAAATTTAGGTAATAAACAAAATTTGTGCTTTCAAAGTACTCTTACCATATAAAAAAATTGAGAGTAAACCTTTCAACCGAACTTTCAACCTTCATGTTGTCTGCTTCGCCGAAAAAAGAATTGTTGAATTGAAAAGATCTATTATAAAAGACAAAAATTTCAATCGAAAAGACAAAATCAACTTCAAAGACCAGCCTCAATAATGTTAAGTTAATTTTGATCAAATTGCAAATTAAACCTTAATTTATTGCTAGCACTACAAACAATAAAACCTACTTATTAAAAAACAAGAACCAATATTCTTCACTATAGTTAACTAAAACCATAAGATAATCTCTCCAAGACACCAGCTAACAAAAACAGATTATGAGTTAAGTCCTAGCCCAAAGATATTCAGTATTCTTAGATGTCAAAATATTTGATGTTCTAACCATCACTTGATTAGATAAGACATTCATGTTCGAAGTCTTAAAATTATCATGGCTCTGAGTCAAATGTCATTTCATTTTCATCTTCGATCTGTGCTGCTGTTGGAACAATGTTATTTATGTTCATTGGGTTTTATAACTCACACCTACTTTAGCAATTTCAGGACTTGCAGGACATGGGCAGTGGTAATGGTCCATAAGCCATTTCATGAGTTATTTTATGTTTTGGGGTTTTAGGAGGTTTATATCAAGTTCAAAATAGTTTTCATAGTCAGATACTCAGGTTTCTTATTTTCATTGTTTTATTCACATGAACTTGCAAATGCAAGCCAACCAAAAAACTAAGTTTTGGATTGGAAACGTTGATTCGGGGATATTGGATAGCCAACGCAGTACAAGACCCAAACAGTCCATCTATATTTAGTTTTTTTTGCATGTCCTTTTGGCATAAGGTTAGCTACGTATACCTTGCATCTATATTTAGTTCCTTTTCACATGTCACTTCTTAAATTGCGGTTAATAGGACGAGAACCCTCATCTGCAATCAACAAGAAATGCCACAAGACAGACGTCCAAAACTAGATTATGCCATTCATCTACTTTTATATATCATAATCCACTACACAGAGTCTCAAACAGCCCACAAAAAGCTTAAAATGCATACACGTATTTGGCATACGTTCTGTTTCATATGTTCATTATATAACTTTTTGGACCTAGTAGATCATTTTTTACATCAGTTGCTCTCACTCTTTCTTACTATTCCCACTCTCCCAAATACATTACATCAAACAAAAAAAAGCAGGCATCCACAACTTTCTCCTCTCACCCAAGCCTCCAATACAGCAAGAGTTTAAGTTCTATAGTTTGTGATTGTGTTTGAGTGAAGTAGGCACCCTTGCAAGTGCAAGCCCTCTAGGCTTTTGTTTCTCCTCATCATCTCCCCCTCTTCCCCTACTACAAAAAATAACCTGGTCATTATTTACGGCACACAAAAAAACCCCCACTTTCATCAGAAAGCCGTTAAACTTGAAAATAAATCCCAGCCCCACATTCAGCCTTATTAAGACACCAAAACCTAATTGTTTTGTGTCTAAAACTTTTCTAAGGCCTTGTTTGGTAACATCACTTTTTAGCTTAAAAGCCAAAAAGTCACTAAAAAAACCAAAAAGCCAACTTCCTACATCAAAAAGTCAAAGATTCCCTTTTCTCTTTACTTTTTGCACATCTTTTCGTAAAAAATCAAAAAGTCATCCCAAACATACTATTTTTTCATACATCATATTTTAGCCAAAAAGCTAAAAAGTTACTAAAAAACCTTGTTCCCAAACAAGGCCTAAAAGAGCATTCTAGCCAATACTCAAACATCTTCAGTTCATAATATCAAATCTCCCAACATATATCATCAATATCATTCTACAACCATTTAGAATGTGGAGCAACTCAGTATAATAACATCTCTCTTTGGCCTCTTCTGTTTTAATATCCCGCCTTTTATTGATTCATAGGTTTTAATATGTTCAGTTCACAATATCAAATCTCCCAACATATATCATCAATATCATTACACAACCATTTAGAATGTTAAGCAACTCAGTATAATAACATCTCTCTTTGGCCTCTTCTCTTCTAATATCCCTCCTTTTATTGATTCATAGGGTTTAATGACCTACTTACATGTAACCATACACAATACTAAGCTAAAAAATATGCCTATGGACATTCATTAATGCAAAATCTACACTTCGATTCTTCTCAATTAGATGCCAAAATCATTGCCTGCCTGTTGAATGTGGCAACTGCTTTGCTAGCAATTATCAGATATTTGCTAATATTTCCATTCCTGTCTTACATTAACCACAAATTTCACACATATAATGTATCAAAACAAAACATTTAGAACTAACAAGCTAAATCATCTTCCAAATATAGTATAGAAGCATTACAAGCTAGCAAGGAAACACATCAAATTTTTACTTCACATGTACGGACTATTTTAATCAGCCTCTATCCCACTATATGATTCCCATATATTTGATTCTTCATACTTTTTGTGTTGACCTTTGTTCCTGAGCATACAATAAAATCTGATTTATACGATTTCTTATAACCAATACAATAGCAACACATCACATTTTGACTTCACATGTACAGACTATTTTAATCAGCCTCTATCGCAAGGTATGATTCCCATAACGTGATTCTTCATACTTTTTGTTGTTGACCTACTTTCGAAAGCATACAATAAATCTGTTTTATACCATCTCTTATAACCAATAAAGTTCCAAGGCTAAAATTGCCAATCAAAAAGTTTAAAAAAGGTAAGCTCAAGTAGTTCTGATTTGTTAGCTCCGTCAGACTTGCACTTGATCATCAGCATCAAATTGTGTTTCCCAATAAATTCAACACTATGTTTCCAATGGTTGATCTGTTAGTAGCCCAGTGAATACTTTCTTCTCAGCAACCTTACAAGTTATAGCAACCACACAGCAATAAATGCAGCAGAGTATTTTTTGAAAACGGTCGTTGATCAAGATTTTGCATTGTCTAAGACCATCACTTAATGGTTCAAGCTATTTCAAGAAGGCCGCACGAGGCCAGAGGGTAAGACATTAGAATGAAAGTGAATGGCCAGCTATTCAATCACTCAAGAAGCAAAGCAAAAGCACTGTTCCTCTTAAACTAAGCTAGAAGCAAACAAATTTAATGGTAAATCATTTAATGCTAAACACCTATGCAACATTTGGTCATGCAATAGTATGATCACCATAAATGGAGATCCTAGGATGAGAGAAAGATCTAAGTTGACATAGGATGCAGTAGTGAAAAATATGTATAAATTTATTAAATATAACTTAACATATAACCCTTGATAGAGCTGAACGGTAAAAAAAGATTCATGTAGCCAACCCCACTTGATTGGGACACAAGGTATGGTTTGGTTTGGTTTTACCTGTGCAACACACCAAGAACAATGTCAAAGAGCCCAAGTTTTGAAATATTGCCTTCGTTTTCCTTTCCTATATTCATCAGATATAAACACGTACTTCAACAGGTGATTATCTGTATCGCTAATCAATGACTCATAGGGTTTCATTTTTACTACTATCAATCTAGCTTAAAGTATTAAAAAGTTAAAGAACACGTAACATAAAAAAGGAGGCACCATTGCAATATAACGTAAAGCTACAATGATATTCAGAGGTGAACAAGTTTTTAAAAAATGTCCTAACTAAGTTTTATGCACAAAACACATTTGTCAAGGGAGACACAGAGCAATAGAAACAGGGGGTTAGGAAAAGGGAGAGAGAAACCAAGGGGGGAAAGAAAGAGAGAGTTTAGTTTAAAAAAAACTATTTTCATCTTGCAGTCCTAATTTGGTCATGAGAATTTCCATCTCCAAACAAGCAACTGACACAAGCGCCAGAAATGGCCCATCAACAGCAAAGAATGAGAGGACAGGCAACAAACAAACTGGTACCAGTTTTGGCAGCAGAAAAAATAATTAATTTAGTCAAAATCTCCAAGCTAAAAAAAAGCACATAAGCTATTAAGGAAGCAAAGTTTTTATAGACACATTATAATACATCAACATCACACCAAATCCCATACATGCACCTAGGACCAAAATTTCTTTTTACTGTGCTGTTCCAATTAGTAGGAAAATGAAAATGCTTCTGAAATGTTTCTAAATTGTTTTGGAAACATTTTGAAAGCAACCAAAGGATTTGAAAATACATAGATACAATTGGAAACATAAATTAAAGTCTGTACAAATGTATTAAACTTTAATAATTGATTAATTAAATATAATTGGATTTATATAGTCAATCACTTAAAAGAGCAATTGTAATTAATATTGCCAATTTGCTAAAAACCAAATATTGGGGTCAAATAATTCAATTTTAATAAACACAAATGTAAATGATTCTAAAAGTGTGTAAGATCCGAACATTTTAGATTTTGTAGTCTTATCAGTGACTGATGTATATCTCACTGATTTTGTTTGTTGGTTTTGTATTCAGGTGGGTAACCCCTAGGTGCCTTTTTGCTGAATGAATTATACAATTGCTTATCAAAAATATATATGCATAAATAAATAATAATTAAAAATATAAAAAATAAATATAAATAAATAAAAAGAGAGAAAGATCCCAAGCAAATAAGGTCTAAGATTTACGTAGACAGTTACTAGTAATAATATTTAATAATGTTGGAAAATAAAGTCTTTTATATATTTCTAAAAAATTCTTAAAATATTTATGAAAAAATTCAAAATTCATGTCAACTCAACTTATAGTTTTGGTATATTACTCTGTTTTATGGTGTGTTTCGCTGTGTTCTGATGCGTTTTGATGGAAACAAAAATGTCATTATTCTAATTGTGTTTTATTTTCTTCTTTCAGGAAGGGGAACGTTTCAGCCATTTTAATGAAAAACAAATGGAAATTTTGTTCCTTGATGTAGTTTAACTCAAGATGCTCATCAAACACACAACTCCACCAAAAACTAGAGCCCAATCATAGCATCTACAGAAGGCACCAGGTTTGTCTTGAACTAAAAACTGCTAAAATGACTGATAACGCAATTTCAATTTTAACTAGGTTACTACAGTACTAAGTCGACATAAACTATCCCAGCACTAAATAAAGAGTACTAAATGAGGATGTCAAATCAAAAACAAAACAAACTTAACTGCGACTGAAACTTCAGTTCCAAAATACCATCTCCACTAAAAGAACAGCAACCTGAAATATCAAAACTAGCATAAACCACCCCGAATGACGAAGAGAGACGTAGAAAGACGAATCACCGATATTGCAACATGGAAAAATACCAAGACACGACTTCGATCCCAAGTCAAGTGTGAGACTGCTTCAGTCCAGCTTGCAGCTTAGCACAATGACTCAAGACTTATTGCCACGAACCTCATAATTGCTACCTCTTGATTTGCTTGGTTCCTCAAGTGAAGAATGAACATTGGAAGTTCTACAAAACAAAGGCAAAAGAATTTCTTTAGGTTTCTGAAAATGTGTGTCATTCATTTGATATACCGATGACAACTCACTTCTGCTTCTTTGCATTATGTTTCTTTATGCTTAGAACCATATCCATAGCCATCTTTTGGTGTTGCCTTGTCTGTGAGTGCAGGTCTAGCCCTTCAACTGTTTCACAATCAACTTTACAGATGCGGCACCACCCCATGCTTGCTAGCTTCCGCTTCCTTGAGTTATCAAAAGGATCCATGCCACCCTGCAGATACCATGCAATCAAAAAAGATGCATTCAACATATTCATAAACAAACCAAGAATTCTGTATGCAACAGCGTTGAATGCTATAGAGAATATACATGTCAACAAAAGAGAGAGATAGACAGAAAAAGAGAAAGAGAAAGAGAAAGAGAGAGAGATGAAAACATAATTAGCACAAAGGCTGAAAGTACTTACAGTGAGGGAATAACTGCTCCTAAATCCAGGCTCACCAAGACGTGGCTGACCTGACCTGTCACCTCCAAACGGTTCACCATGAGGTAGACGATGCAGGAAGTTCCCAGGACCAGAAAGATCCCCCATCCGTGCGTGACCATGAAAAGAACCAAAACCCTCAGCCTCACCAAAATGCAAATCACCACGTAAGTTCTGAGGGCCCAAAAAATCGCCCCTCCTTAAACGACTAGGGAGAATATCTTGCCCCATCGAATCACCGCTCTGCACATTCCTTGGCCCGTCAAGCTCACCTCTTCGCAAGTTGAAGGATCTGGATCCTTCACCAAATGTGCGTGATTCCCGGCCATTACTATCATCCAGGCCAGAAAAACCTCTTAAATCACGAGGTGAAAAACCATGATATTCTCTACCCGGGCTTCTTGGAGCCGCACGATCCATATGATGCCGACCAAATCCAGGAAACGGTCCAAGAAAATCTGGATGAGTACGAGTAGAATCAGCTCTCCCAATGTTACCATCAGGACCAACTGGTCGTGATCTATATCCGGTATCATTTGAACCACTAGGATGATAGGGAGGCAAAAGTCTAGGAGCATTATCAACACCCGGATCTAAATTCAATCCAGCATCATAGTTTAATCCATGCGGTCCCCTATCATTGGGCCTTGATGAGGAGAAGTAGCCCCCAAACTTTGGTCCAGGCTCAGTGTCCAAATGAGGGTTCCTAGGATGTTGTTTCAGATCTTCTTTAAGCTCACCTCGATCAACATGCCAAGCTGGTTCCATTGGAAAGTGATTCAAGCCCTCCTCTGTCCGATGATTGAACCTTTCATCCCGAAAACTGGAGGAAAGAGTACCCGGGGGCCCATTCATTCTCATCACATTAGCTTCAATACCATGAGGCTGTCCAAATGGAGCACCTTCCGAAGAACCAAGCAAATGGGAATCAGATTGTCTGCCATCCAAATGACGGGACCTCTGATCCAAAAAGACTTCACTTTCCATTCTATTACTAGGACGCTGCTGACCAATCTGCCCTTCAGGGCCATGTGGAGGTGCAATTCCCATTAATCCACCATGCGGAGGTTCACCTTGAGCCATCCTAGGGAGCCCAGCATGTGAAGGAGGCACATGACCTTGGTTATAATGCCCTTGAGGACCAAAAGATTGCAGTCCAAAATTTCTCTCAGGACCAAAATGACTAGGTCCCCTCCCTAATGATGAAGAGCTTGGACCAGGAATTCCACCCGAAGCAATTTCAGGATGAAATGAACCCTGAGGCTGCCTCAGCACAGGTGGCTGTAAATGATCAGGTGGGTTTAAAGGCTGTCCTGGCTGAGGTAAATGTCCAGGTCCTTGAGGCCTTAACATGTTCGGGGGTTGCCCTGGCACCTGTGCATGAGGAAGTGCTGATTGTAACATTGCAGCTCCAGCAGGACTTTGTTGGTGAGCTGATGGTCCATAATACATTGGCATATGTTGATGCCTGCCATGATCAGTTGGAGGGAATGGATGACCAGGAGGCATAACGCCCTTGCCCAACGCCTGATCATGTGAAGGGAAGCTCCTAAATTCATCCACTCCAGGACCTTGAGTTGTGAGCTGGGATTGACTCAAATTTCTTTCCTGAGAACCGTGCTGCAAACGTTCTCCACCAGTAAGAGGAGTCTGAGACTCGGCAGAACTGTCAGGGATATGAGTTGAGGCCAGAGGAATAGCTTGTGAGCCCTTATCAGCCCCATCAGTTACCAGCATAGCCGTATCTATTACATCTTTTTCCAACTCACTACGTTTCTTACTAGATTCTACTTGTTGCAATGAATTACCATCTTCTGCTGAATGCTCAGCTCGTGGAAGAAGATCAGTTGCATCTTCGGGTCCTGCAGCTACAATTTTAACAGACTTAGCACCAGGGGAATTGCCCAACCCACTCTCATTACACTCTTTCTTAACCATTTGATTGACTGCAGGCTCTGCAGAAGCATTTCCCCCTGCATGCAACTCGGAGTCCATATCCTTGCCGTGCATATCAACCTGACTATTGCTATCTTTATCACCACCCATTGGTTTCTGTACAACATCCTTCGATTGCACATCTGTTTCAGATTTGATATTTCTTACTTGAACCGAATCAGCTCCGAGACCAGATGTTGAAACCAAACCATTTGGTTCCTTAAGAGCAGTTTCCTGAAAGGATGATCCATCTTTACTATCAGCTACACTTTGCTCAGGCATATGATCACCTTGCCTATCCAGCACCCTAGGTTTCAAGGTCAGCCCAGATTGGCCAATTTTTTGTTCAGATGACATCTGCATTTGGTGGTTTGATCTCGGTGGATAATTTTGATTAGCCGGTGGCTGGTTTGCACCAAGCTGCATTGGCCTAACTTGAGATGTACCAGCAAATCCAACAGGAGATTGAGGAAAGGGCTGTGATTGTGCCCCATGGCTTGGCATCATTGGTCTTGCAGCGTAATTCTGAGGCTGGTGAGTTTGCAAACCATGTGAATGCGCAATATTTTGTTGTGACGACATATTGTCCTGAGAATTTTGCTGCTCCATGTGATGAAGGCCCTGAGGGCGTAACTGAGACTGCATAGGCTGCTGCTGTATGAAATGGCCATGTGGATGTAACTGATTCTGAACAGGACCCAATGTTTGCCCTGGAAATGGCTGCGGATGTTGAAAATATTGTTGAGACACTGGTTGTTGCATTGGCTGCAAAACAGGACGCTGAAGACCAGGATGACCAGGTTGCTGAGCATGAGGATGAACCAGATGCTGTTGTGCTGGTGGGATGCTTGGAACCTGACCCTGTGAAGACAACAAAACAGGCTGTTGCTGTTTTGGCACTGGAGCATGTGATTGGGGGGGACCCATCTGATGTGGTGGTGGAGGAATAGGCCCAGCCTGGGGATGCATGTGAGGGGGTTGTTGAGATCCCAACTGCATTTGCTGGTGAGCTTGAGGATGTGGATAAGATTGAAGACCCGTCACTGCATTGGGTGGTGGGTATTGTGTCTGAGACTGGGCATTTATATTTGGAGGCTGGTTGAGTGGGGGCGGGGGTGGGGGCGGGAGCTGCGGACGAGGATGTGGCTGAGGTTGAAGCTGTGGTTGTGCCTGAGCTTGAACATGTGCTTGTGGCTGAGCTTGCAGATGACGTTGTGGCTGCAGTTGTGGAAGAGAATGCTGAGGCTGAATTTGTGGCTGTGGATGTTGCATCTGGGATTGAGGCTGCTGATATTGAGGTATCTGCATGTGTTGTTGTAAATGAGGCTGAACTGGATGGGGCTGTGGGAGAGACTGAGCTTGAGCATATGGTTGAGGCTGAGCCTGAGGATGGGGGTGGCCATGCGGTTGTGATTGAGCCTGTGAATGTATTTGAGCATGTGGCTGCAGCGTTGAGTGAAGTTGATGCTGTGGGTTGACTGAAGCCTGCATAGTCACTGGAGCATGAACAAGCTGAAGAGGTTGAGGCTGCGTATGAGGCTGAATTTGTGGCTGGTGTGTTTGAGACGGGGGCTGCATTTGTGGCTGCTGTGTTTGGAGGTCCTTGAGGCCTTAACATGTTCGGGGGTTGCCCTGGCACCTGTGCATGAGGAAGTAACCTGTGGTTGAAACTGAGTATGGGGTTGGGCCTGAGAGTAAACCTGAGGTTGGTGCTGCACCTGCACATGTTGGGGATGCTGCTGGTATTGCTGAATAGCCTGTTGTTGATACGGTTGGTAATTTTGATAAGGCTGCTGGTAAGGGTCATATCCAGGATGCTGATGGTAGTGTTGCTGATATTGTTGCTGATACCACTGTTCTGGAGTTGGTACAGCAGTCGAAGCCACAGCCTGCACCTGAGAATTCGCATTAGCCTGCTGATTGGGGTCTTGTCCAGTTGGAGGGCCAGCCAAGGTTAGTGAAGTCTGTGCCTGAGAAGTAGATGCCCCAGATTGATTAGCAATCTGGGTCTGTTCAGCATTAGCTGATGCAGCTGTGGTTGTTGTTGTGGTTGTGGTTGTGGCTCCAGCAGCAGCATCCTGCACTCCTGCTGCCTGCGGTGCTTGAGGCTGCACACCCTGTTGTTTAAAGACATAAGTAAGAGCTAATTCATTCAGAAAACAAGAGAAGCATCTTACACAGATATAAAAGTGTAAGCCTTAATTGACTCACAGAACAGTTCTGAGCATGCTCTTGCACTTGACGATGCACAATTTGGATCCCACACCTGTTGCAAACAACTGGAGAATTTCCAAAGGCACACCCAGTACAATGGGAAGTGCACTCAGACAACGGACCCTGCCATTGGCATCCACTCCTGTGATAGAGACAATGAACTGCTATTTTGCCTATGGTTTCGGCCAGTGCTTTGTTTGATTCAATAAGTGGCTGCAGAAAGGGTCAATAAGTAACTTACGTTTAGAAAGAAAACACATAGGTGGGCAAGTAGAAAGCATAATAGGATTAAGTTAACCTTCGAATCAGCTTCTGTCACTAAGTATCCATCATAGGGGCACGCCCGAGTAGTGCCCACGATATATGTCAAACAAGGTTTACAATATAGATGGGTGCACTGTGACTGAAGCGCTTCATTTGGGTAGACAAGTAGGCGACAAACCGGACAAAAGTACTCTCCAGCAAGAGATTGAATATTTAATATGCACTCATTATCGAAACCCATGCTGGTTCGGGAATTAAAACTTAAACTCCCACCAAGTGTCAATGCAATTGATCTGAAGAGAGGGAAAATTAAAAAATAGAAAACAACGTATATCAGCTGCACTAGGCCAAAATGAACTTAAACTGCCCAAAAATACTTTGAACAACCAATGATGGGTAACGTTCATAGAACAAAAAAAAAAGAGGCAGCAAGAGAACTATATAATGACTAATAATATTTCCAAGATACAAATTTCAGCATGTATCCAAGTTGAAGGATACTGGTTTACAAAATCGAGAAGGGATAATAACTGCAGAAGCTCAACATTTGATAGCCATTAGATTTACCCTTGTTCAACCCACCACAAGTTAAGGCATGCAAAAATGGTAGCTCACACAGTCACACCTCATATTTCAATAAATTGAATCATCACCAAATCACATAGTATATCAAAATTTGCAATCCACTAATATACAAAATATTCAAATATAACACAACATAGCAGATAATTACAAGATTCCTCCCAGAAATTTCTATCATATAAGTAAAACTGCATATAAACGTTTAACTAAAAAATATTGTGGGCAGGTGTCGTTACACATTATTTACTATTTTAATCTTCCAAAAATATGGTTTGTTCATCCGGAAAAAAAAGAAAAAAGAAAAAACACCAGCAAGTGACTCATTTGCCAATGTATAATAACAAGGTATACCAAGCCCTTTGGCCTGTCAGTTAGAAAACTTAAGCTTGCCGATAATGTGGTAAAACAGTTACAGATCAATATAAAACGTACATGTGAATTAGAGTTATGATTATGATTATCAATAACAAATGAAAATGCAAGACACAAACATTTACAGATCAACATAACTTCCTTTTTTGTTTTAGTACGAGATTAAAGAATTCGCATTAGAATGCCATGGTTAGCTCGATCGATATACAGAGTGAAAAACTTCAGGAGGAAGTTACATAAAATAAACCTTCAAAACAAATTAAAAATTAACATCTATCATCAACCATTATTTCCATGGGAAGTAAAATCTCACACTTAAAAACTTTTTCTAGGTCTGTTTAGGATGAAAGTGTTGAAATCTACAACGAAGTTAATTCTTTTTATACAACCCATATTAGCATTGTAACTAAGTTTTGGTTCCTTATAATTAATAATTCAAATTTCTCTCTCTTTCTCTTCCAAAATATTCATCCTAATCAAATGCTTGCAAAAAAATATATACTTTTCGTTTCTTTTTCTTTCACTTTACTTTCTACCACTTAGGTATCATTTTTTTCTTTCTAATCAAACAGAGCCTAAGATACAAAATCAAAACAATAAAATACAAGGTACATCGTCCAAAATCAAACGTGCATGTGGACAAACAAAGAAAAACTCAAAAGATACAGAATCAAAATCGATGGTCACAATCACGAGATCAACAAAACCCAACAAAATTGAGAATAAAAGTATGCATATAAAAATGCAATCGACTGTTAGCATTGTACATCGATATCAAACCTGAAATTTGCAGAAACGGCGAGTGGATACGATTGACGATTGTAAACCCTAATCCATATGTGTAGAAGAGAGGGGAATCAGGGTTTTTCGAATGTCGATAAAGTGATGAGTTTTATAACAGTTATGAATAGTAGAGCCTAGTTAGTCACTCTTGACGATCGACGAGACAGAGAGAGATGAGAGAGAGAGAGAGAACAGACGCGAGCCAGAGAGCAAGCGAGGCGGTGATATATGGAGATGTGCCAGTGGTCCGTTTGATTCTTTTCTGATAGAGATAACGGCGTCGAGGGCTGCTTCACCCTAACGTTCCTTCGCTTTTTTGCTTTACATCTCTTCACGATCGTCATATCGGCCGTTAAAATGTATACATTTTGGCCCCGTTTAATTACTCGGATTGATATAAGGATTTGAGTATTTTTTTTTTTTTTTTTTTTTTTTTTAACTCATGCATTTTGTCTGAGAAATCGTTCAGATTTGCCGCTGAAAGCTAGTCGTAAAAATCATTTCCCATGGCTTACTACAACAAAAATACATTTTAGCGATATCATACTAATGTCATAGAGCCACAAACATATAAGTCTCAAGTGGCAATTCAAGTAAAAAAAATGGCACTTCACTAGAACAAAAATATCACTACAACAAATTTACACTTTAGTGACACTACACTAGTGGCATATTTTTAAAAAATGCCACAAAAATAAAAATTGGCATTAAATGTTTTAGAAAAATGTCACATAACCACAAACATATAAGGCTCTAGTGGCATTTAAATAAAGAAATGTCACATCAATTTTATGGTATTTTATAAAATAATGACACAAAAAATTATGTTCGTGACATTTACCAACCAATGTCACTAAACTTTAGTAGCAATGGCATATTTTAAAAAATATCAGGACACTAGGTAGGTGCAAATTACTTTTTATGGCACTTAGGTGAAAAGTGTCATAAACAAATATTTTATAACATTTTGAGAAATGCCACTAAGCCAAAAACTTTCCAAGCTTATAATGGCATTTTTGAAAAAATAAAAAATGCCAATATATTTTCTAAAATTTTTAAAATGCAGTAAGTGATTAAAAATAAATAAATTAAACTCAATATACACTACATGAAAAAACACATTCGGCGACTAAATTTCCTGACCAAAAAAAATTTGGTCGCTGAAATATAGCTTTCAGTAACCAAAACAGCATTAGTAGCCAAAAGTAAAACTTTTTGGCGACTAAACAATTTTAGTAGCCAAAAGTCTACAATTGGCGATTAAAGTTAAGTTTGGTCGTTGATTATATGGGTTTTACCGACTAAAAAAATTTAAGTAGCCAAAAGTAAAGCTTTTTGGTGATTAAAAAAATTTTAGTAGCCAAAAGTCTACAATTGGCAACTAAAAAATAAGTTTAGTTGCAAAAAGTGGTCATTTTTAGCGCGGGATAACTAAAATCCTAAGGTGGGAATTAAATTTTTTTGCGACTAAAATTTTGGTAGCTGAAAGTGCATCTTCGGTGACCAAATCCGATTTTAATCGGCAAAAGTTAAGTTTTTTAGCAACTAAAAAATAATTAGTAGCCAAAAGTAGTTTTTTTTATTTTGCTAGTAAATAGTTTATTTTACATAAATTATGTTCAACAAAATAATTATGTTTCTACATATACTTTTATATTAATATGGATGTATGTACTATATGAATAATATATGTAGCATATATAACCATGTGGTGCTATAAAGGTGTAGTGGGAAGAGTGTGGTGTATAAGGTTTATGGTGTGGGAGGTTAACGATTCGAGTCTCCACAAGAGCAGATCAAATTGTTCTACAACGAATTATCGTCACGAATGGCACTTGATAGCGTCACGAATAGTGTCTACCATGACATTAAAGTGTCACTGAAAGGTTTTAATCTTGATGATGTAATGACACTTATAAGTGTTACTAACTCTTTTTTTAATGGCGCTTGTTAGTGCCACAAATAATATCTACCATGATAACAAAATGTCATTGAAAATTTTTAACCATGATGGTGTAGTAGCACTTGCAAGTATCTACCGTGGCACTAGTATCTACTGTGGCATGGATACAAATGGCACTTGTTCAAAATGCCACAAGACTAAAAAATGTCATTAAACTAATAGTTTTGTGGCACTTTCAAATGTCACTAAACTAAGAAAATGTTGTAGTGGCTGGTTTATCTTCCCATTGATTATCTTGGTCATCTTCTCCTATTAGTGGTGACTCATGAGAAACGCTATGCTGATAGTTAGGATACTGACTTTCATCAACGAATGTTTCTTTGCTGAAGGGATATCCTGGGATAACTAGGTTACAGTATATCTTCTGATTTCTATCTTCGCAAACTAGATGTCCATAATTTCCATTATATGCTAATAGAGGATTA